TACCTTATCAAATGTCCTTTATCCAACATATTGTCAAGTCACCTATAAATGTCAAACATACAATAAAAAACCCTACCTGTAGTGGTTTATGTGAGCCTAGTCGTCTTGACTATATTTAAGAAAGGCAAAAAGAAACCCCCAAATTAATCAAATAGGTAAGCAATAGTGCTGTTGCCTCACGCATATCAGGCTCACACTGCCAGAGACACATTCCAGAAATCTAGTGCTAAGAAAGTGCTTCCCAACCCATGAAAACAGTGCCAGGAAGGGAAGAGCTTGAGAGGCAGTGTCCACATGGATACCTCTCAGCGCACTAAGGATTTTAGAGATTATTGCTGGTGGCCTACTGTGTACAGAAGTTGCAACAGCAAATGCTGTTAGTGTTACTGATTGTTTTCAGTCCTGTACCCAGAGAGGTACTATGAACTTTGTGAGCGCTTGGCCCTAAGTGTTTCCAGTCTGGAAGTCAACTCTGTGGATCGGTATTACTCTTACCTTTTGGAAGCAATAAAACACCTCCAAATACCAAAATATCTCAGTGAGGAAAAATCCCAGCGAAGACCCCGAGGGTCTAGTGCCCATATTGCCAGAAGGAGACCCAAAATTAAAATGAAAGTCTGCATATTTTTTTTTTCTCTGATGCCCCAGCATGAATAGAAGCAAATAAAGTGCTTTGAATCTGACCCTGAACGTGCTGACTCATTAGAATTTGTGCTTTAGTACCTTATATTTGCCTCCACACTGTTCCCCGCTCCGCTGCAGTAAGCTCTGAATATGCATACGACACAGCTGCCCACTCTTTCTAGTATCTCCTGCAAGGGCTTGTATTTTAAACCGACAAGACAGACAATGCTCAAGGGAAGAAGCGTCCCATTTTACAGATGGGGAACTGTGATACAAGCTGATGTATTTCTAAGTAGCTTTCTGAACACTCAGGTATTTGCATACTTGTTCAGAACATCTGTGACTTCAGGTTTACAAGGCTTTTCAGGACTTTGTACATCATACAGCACCCTTTTTCCCACAGTATCTCTCTCCTCTTTGATTCTTTACCTCCCTCAAGAAAATATTGCATGACAGATCTTTGAACATACAAGGGCTACTTTGTGATCATGGGCTGAAATGTGTGGGCCCTGTCACAGACTGAGGCTGCCAGACAGGATGGATAATTTTATGGCGCACTGAGAAGGCTTATTTTGAGGTTGCTGGTATAGATGATATTCATGTGATGTTTTGTGAAATTCTTACCACATAGCTTATCATTTCTCCTCAGCAGACTTTCCACCTGTCTGCAAGGCTGGTTTTTGCTTTGTTATCCCTGAGCATTTCTTACAGGATGGAGTAAAGAGAGTAAAACCCTAGAAGTTATCAGTGATCTGAATTATAGCGATGAGACATAACGAGTTGAGTCCTACTCTTTCTTACCAATTGCTCATGATGGCAGCAACTAAAGTTTATTACCAGGATATTAGTACTAGTCTAATTTGGGATAACAGATTTCTCTTTTGATGGTTCACGTTCCTCTAATTTGAAGATTGCATCATGAGGCCGTGCTGCATCCCTGGTGCAAATAGGCTATGAGAAGCGCCCTCTCCTGTGCAAAGGTTAATTGTGCAGGGGAAAGAGGGAGCGCAGCGGGATGCAAACCACCCAAGAGGGACAAGAAGAAATGGAGAGGACTGGTAGGTGTCCTCATCTCTAGACACTAGTGGCAGAAGACATGCTGGGAGATCCACCTTTGGGGATGTTACCACCTGTATGCATCCCCTGCACACCAAAGAGGTTCAAAAAAATGATTGCATCTTTCTGATGCAATCCCTCCACCCTTATTTGCTACCTTTAGTTTGTGCTGGTTTGAAAATAAGACAGGTATTCCAACCTGTGAGGCAACTGTGGCGTCATTTCACTATGTAGAGGATGTTTCCTAAAAGGCCTATCCCACAGCGTGACCTGTAGGATGGCAATATGCTCATGAAAAAAAAGCTATTAGATTGTGAATGTTTTTGAAAGCCTGGTTCTGAGTTGGGTTTCATCACTCACTACCCAACAGAAATTCGACATTGGGTTGTATATGATAGCAGAGGCTAAATCAGACCAGCTACAGGATGGCTAACTGCGGATGAAACTTTGTCATGCACAGAGGGTCTGAGTTCATTGGTATCTGGTTTTGCCTGTTTTGTGTAACTATCCTCTTGAAGCAAAATTTAGTACTGAACACGAAAGCATTTCTTAGACAGGAATAGAGTTTTATAAGAAGTGAGTTACCCCAAACAATTACTTAAAAAAATGCAGTCTTTAGAAATAACTTAAAATTGATGAATAAACAAACAAATCAGATATATTGTCTGGAAAAACTAGTTTGGCCAGCTCTAGTTCATAGCCAGAAATTATTCACTTCATGCTTCACAGTCATACTTAAAACAATCAGCAATCCACTTATTTCCCAGGTACATTATGAATATCTGAGACATCTGTTAAAATAAAATCAAGTTTTATTTATTGAGTAGCCCACTCTTCTTTAAATCAAATTATGGAAGTTATACCTGAGTAAATGCTGAATACAAAAGAAAGTGGAATTTTTGACTCTCGTCCTGTTACACTGGTGACCTACTTACCCACTCTGACCCATACGTGTGGAGACCTGGCGATCTAAAGATCAAATTTGGAAGCACAGCCTAAGTTTTGTACTCTCTCCAAGTCATTTTATAGCTTAAGCTGAGTTGAGGAAGTCGGGGGACAGATCCAAATAGCTGGGCTGAGAACTGCAGATCTGATGTAGTAGGTGACCCTTCAGAGCACGAAGCAGTCCCTGCAGGCTCACTGGAAATGTCCCTGCAGGAGGAAAGGATGGAAAGACCCACACAATCAAGCCATCCTTCAGATCTGCTCGGACCTGAGTAGTGTCCTTTGCTGTGTCTCCAGCAAGTGTCCCAGTGCTGAGACCCTTCTTTTGCCTGTATGGCACAGTCAGATACCGTGTGACAAAACAGGTCTCATGCTTTAATTTGTCACATGAGAAACAGTCGGCTTATCTGATGGGATAGTTTAATAACATGGAAATAGCATTTCTTGATGTACTTACTGAGATGTAAAGCTGCTTTTCCATTTATCCAAAGAAGTCACGATTTGTGATTTTCCCATGTGGATACATTGCTTGGTACCTGGCCCCTAATCCTTGTCACGGAATATTTTAGTTTGGAAAGCACCTCTGGAGATCATTGAGGTCATCTTCAAAATTGGATCAGGATGTACAGGGCCTTGGCACCCCTAGGGCTTTTATTTCAGAGTGCATCTGAACAAAAAAATCTTCAAGGATTTTTATTAAGAGAGGATGCATAATGATATAGTAATTTAGAACAGCATGTAAATTAGGCAATGCAAAAGAATTGCAGATGTTGCATCAGACCCTACTAATCCCTGTCCCCTACACCTATGGCACTGGGCTCTGATACTGGTTGCTCTAAAGATACTCACGTTTTATCAGAGGAAAAACATCAGAGAGATTTCAGACTTCATCGAAATTAATATCTAATTTGCATCCATTTCAATTAGTTCAGAAGCTTGTATCTTTAGTTTCTTCTAAGTTCACTGCTATTATTCATCAGAGTTTTACATTTAGACTATGAAAATCCTGAGGTTGGGGCAGTTTGCATATGTGTCTTCAGAGATTAATCACCAGTGCTCTGGCTGACTGGGCTGTTACGAGCAACGCCTGCCGCTGATGTTTTTAGTAATGGAAAGTTTGATTTTCAGCAAAGTTACAGATGTTCAGCACTTTGCAGATCTCTCCCTGATACCTTAGAGATTTTTGATCTCTGGCATGCCTATGCAAATACAAAACCACAGTTTGTTAATTAGCATCACAACAGAATTTCACATTTTTCCAAGAAACAATCTCCTATTCAATTCAGTATTATGTAAGCTACTTTTGAGGACACAAGCCTTTCATAAGTAGATGCCAGAGGAGTCATTAAATAATAAAAAAATTAAATATGTAATAAATACAATAACTTGAGGAAATGCCATTGTGGCACAATGCTTCTTTGCAAAAGTATATAAGAATAAAGCATAATATACAGAAATACCTATGACAATTTTAAAACATTAACAAGTATTGTATTTACTTGAACATTGGCTAATGTTAGTTCAGTTCAGCAATGTCAACATTAATGACAAATTGAAAATATTACAGAAATACAACATTACAGACGAAGCAGAATGATGCTGTGAAACACTTTTACAAACTCATACTCAAATAAACATCCAACTGATTAATGATCTTTGTCTGTTTTACTTTGATCGCATAAAAATATGAGGAAGCTGTTTAGATAAATCTTGCCAGATTTGTATCATTCTTAATTTTTAATTTCTGGTTTGAAAGCACAGGAAACTACCATCAATAATTTATTCATAGTGAAAGTGGCAGCAGCAACAATTAAATCTGCCCCAGTATAGTCTCATGTATGCACCACCAGCACGTCCGAGGGAGTTCCCATCTATGGGGAGAAGAGACTCTGTTCTCCATGCTGCCAGCCCTTCCTTGTCAGTAAGGCACTTAACTCTTGTACAAACTCCTACACAGTGAAAGTTGGATCAGTACCAGAAGGGAAGTTTTAGCTTAGTCAGAAATGAAACACAAGTTCAACAAACGTTCAGGGATGGCGTATAAACAATCCATGACACCAGTTGGAAATGTATAAATTTTCTGTATACTACAGTGCATTCCAGATTTAACTGCAAAATGAGTAAAATCTACTAATTGTAAAATATCAAGCATTAGAATTGTACATTTTAAGAATTTCAGGACAGTGCAGGATCTTGACTAATACAGTAGAAGTACTGTTGTTCTGTGTTATCGGGCCACTGTTTTGCCCTTTGATTCTCCCCAGAATGTGCGAGGTAAATAAAGCTGCATACTGAAGTATTAGGAACATTTTTAAGGCTCTTGTTGAAAGACTTCCTCATTTTTAATATTTTCCACTGGTTAACCACAAACGGTAACAACAGAGTTTGTGTATGAGAATCTGAACATGTACGTCCTCAAGAACTAAAAATTTCAACCTTAAGAATGGGTCCTATGTTGTTCTCCTCAGCAGGGATTTTTTTGTCCATCTCAGAAGATAAAACTGCTTCTGAATTCATATGAAGAAAAAGTCAGCCCCAAAAATAAGCTTTTAAGATTTCAATTTGAGTCAAAGTAAATTACTTAGTTTATTCCACGTGTCCTTAGTAAGAAATATTTTCACCAATGATACTGGTGGACGAACTTTATTGTAGGAGACAAACAGAAATAAGAAGTATCACTCCTGTAGCGTCTTCAAGGAGTTGCTGGCTCACACACAATGACAAAACTTCCTACAGACATCAGAATGCAAATACTCGTGTGCTGCAGTCTGCAGCCCACAGCTAGTGGTGGGAACTTCTTATTTGTGTCAGCAGCTAACTGCTAGCTGCCACCTTCTTGGTCTTTGCCACTATTACAGGTCTTTTGAATGTCAGATGAATCTGGTATTTCTTTGTTTTCTTCTTTTAGCCCTCCTTCCTGTGATTCTTTTGACATTTTCAATTTTAGGCTGTCAGTCTTGTGATTAATGGATGAATTCAGCCTGGCTGAGTTCAATCTCCATCTTCTCAGAGTCCTATAAAAATCTTTTCTGACGTTTTCACTAACCAGCACGTAGATGATTGGATCTGCAACACTGTTTGCAGTGGCTAAACACAGAAACGCTGTAAAAATTGAGTAGATATTTTTTTCAAATGGACATGAGCAATTCTGATGAAGCATAAAGTATATGGATCTTATTATGAGTACCACATGGTAGGGAGCAAAGCAGATCAGGAAAATGACAATAATAGCGACAGCCAGATACTTCACTTTGGCTTTTTGGCGACAAGTCAAGCTGCTGCTTGTTTTTGTACTTTGGAAAATTTTGTAGTTTGTGAAAATGAGGATTGTGAAAGGTATGACAAATCCAAATAGGAATCTAGCAAAGCTGAAAGAAGCCAATTTTATGTCAAGGGGCAAAGTTTCAAAGCAGGTCTTCCTATTCATACGTTCTGGATTATCTTCCATGTAAAATACTGGAGTGTGGATTATTGCAACCACAGCAAAGAGAAAACACACTATTATGATTGCTTTTTTCTGTCCTCTTCTCCCCCTTGATTCCAGAGCATAGACCAGGGCCACGTAACGATCCAAAGAAATGCAGCACAAAAGCAGAATACTGATGTATATGTTGCAGAAAAAGATGAATCCTGTTATTCTGCAAGCCTGTATACCCATATTCCATCGGTGCTCATTTTGCACGTAGATAATCCAGAGAGGCAAGGTACTTAAATACATCAGCTCACACAATGATAAACTGAAAATGTAGATGGCGATTACTTTATTCCTTTGTATTTGTAGAAATGTAAGCAGGGAAGTTAAGCAATTTGCCGGAAGGCCTATGGCAAAAACGATGCTGTAAACTGCAACCAGAAGTGTCTTGCTGTCTTCGTAGGGAATTTCTGTGCAAGTGGAGCTATTATTTGTGTCTGTACAATTTTCCATTATTCTTTTTCCAGCTGGTGTTTCCTGAGAATCAGAAGACAAGGTGGAAAGTTAGCACCTACATCGCTTAAAAAAGTGTCAGTAAAGGTTATGGTCCCATAGGTGCCAGCAGGACATGTCAGGGGAACAAGTGGGATGCTTGTCTTGGGGAAACATCTGAAACAGGCAAGTTTTCCAAGACCTGCTGGTCTACTGCAGTGTCCCCAGGGAGTCAGGTCTGATTTATTTCCAGGAGAAAGTGCCTTTCTTCACAAGGAATTTCTTGACTACAGCATGCCTATTCACCAGAACAGGGTATTGGGGACTGTCCCTAAATCAGGCTGCCTCATAAATAAGACTGAGCTGCTGATCAATTACTAAAGTCACTTCCCAGAGGAAACTGAGGGCATTAGTCTTTTTTTTTTTTTCAAACTGAGTAACAAAAATTGCAAACCACAGAGATTTCAGAAGCAGACTTCCAAAAGAAGCTATCATTTATGGTCAGTCAGCTGGGGGAACCATCTGAAGTGGGTGGTAGTAGTTTTGTGTCAGAGACTACCCAGCATATAGGAAAGAGAATCCGGTCACTCACATGTACCTCCACAATATATTACAACATAGTGGTTCAGATCTAGCTAATTCATACCTCTCTTCTCCCTCCTCTTAATGAATAACTGCAGCTGAAGAACATAAACTTGTAGTGCGATTTAACACCCACCTGTCCTCATTTCAGCTGGAATAAAGTCAATTGTCTTCCTAGCAGCTGGTATAGTGCTGTGTTTTGGATGTAGGATGAGAGTAATGTTGGTAACACAGTGAGGTTTTAATTGTTGCTAAGCAATGTTTATACTATGTCAAGGACTTTCCAGCTTCTCACACTGCCCTGCCAGCAGAGGCTGGGAGTGCACGAGAAGTTGGAGGGAATGCAGCCAGGACAGCTGACCCAAACGAGCCAAAGGGGTATTCCATACCATATTACATCACGCCCAGTACATAAACTGGGGGAAGTTGGCCAGGGGACACCATGGCTTGGGGATTAGCTGGGCATTGGTCAGTGGGTGGTGAGCAATTGTATTGTGCATCACTTGTTTCATATATTCCATTATTATTATTATTATTATTATTATTATTATTATTTCCCCTTTCTTTTCCATCCTATTAAACTGTCTTTATCTCAACCCATGAGGGTTCCCCCCCCCGATTCTCTCCCCTATCCCACTGCGGAGCTGGGGGAGTGAGCAAGAGGCTGCGTGATGCTTAGCTGCTGGCTGGGGTTAAACCACAACACTACCATAGTAAGCCAGTGAAACTGCCTACCACATCAGTCTGATGCCTCTGGGAAACAACAGGAAATAAGGGCAGCTAGAGGAAGTAAACAGACCAAAGAGAAGAACATACACATGTTTGAGAAATGGAGGCAAACAAATTTAATGCTCTTTGAACAGAAGCGGTTACAAAAACCTCCACCTTTCCAAGATGACCAAACACAAAAGCAGACCTGGCATTTGGTTAGTGTTAAGTAGTGCTAGGAGAAGCATTTCTTGCAAGGTCACGTTGATGATTTCCATGCAGAAGCCTTCCCCAAGTGAACAGAGGAATATGGAGCTGGGCGTGCAGTAATGGTGTTGTGTGCCCTTGAAAATTGTACTTTGCTGTATTTATGAGTTGTAGGTGCCCATTGTATAACATCCTTGATAAAAAGAGATCTTGTCTGGCCTAATCTTTTGGTCATTCTCTTATGGGGTGGACATCTGCTCCAGGGAACAGCCAGCTAATTCCACAAGAAAGAGATGTGTTGACAAGAGACTGAGTCCCTTCAGACAGAGGAGGGGCATGAGCTTTCCTGGTTTACACTGTGCATGAGCAATTTCTTTAACCCTGAGTTCATGCAGGGGAGAAGGTAGCTTTTAGCAGCCTCTGGACATTTATTTGTTGTTTGTTTGGGCCCATCTCAAGAAGACCAAGGGGAAGCAGTCTGCTCCCAGTGCAGTGGGATTGTCTCCTTCATCTCTGGGAGGGTGGACAACCTGGTGGGGCTGTTCCTTCCCCTCCACATGGGCAAGAGCAGTCTCTGGGGTGGCACAAGCAGCTCCACCCTGAACGCCTGACAGAGTACCTGCTGTGCAAGATCCCTAGAGCTTGAAGGGCAGTCAGGTCTCCTGACTTAGTTTAGTTACCAAATGATAAGAACGGTATGAGAAAATGTACACAGGTTGCCCTAGGCTGCCCTAGGCAGCAGTGCGGTGCCAGCCACAGCCATAAACACCCAGAGAGGATCTCCTGGCCCGTGTTCAGAGGCGTTCGCTTCTGTCAAGTACCCCAATGCAGTCAGACCCCGCTCAATGGCAGCAGCTTCTGAGTGAAGATGTCCTGTCAAGTGAGCAGACGGGGCAGAGGCAAGTGGTACCTGCCATCCCCGGCACCAGCAGCAGAGTAAGCTGTTCCCTGGGGTGAGAACATTTGGAAGGGGCCTCCACAGACAGAGGAACTGAGAAAGCGCTGTGTCTGTGTAAGAAATACACCGGAGGGTGCGACCGCGCTCTGCGACTACCTTCCACTTCCCCCTGCGGCAAACCGTGCTCTGCTGGCGTGCTGACGTTGATGAGGGTTAGCAGGCAGTGGTTGCTGCGCTAGCTGGGCCAAAGTGTCTTGCCAGAGGGTCACATCCCTCCACATCTGAGAATCAGAGTGGAGTCCGACGGGTATGTTGAAGCCCTCTCAAGGGGGATCTGAAGTTTCCTTTAGTTTCCAATGTCCCATCTTAAGAATGACTGGAGAAGAGGATCCTCACTGCTGTGTAGGGAAGACTGCACGGTACTCAGCAGGGCTGCCGCAAGGTTTCTGCATGAGAGGGTGTAAAGTTACTTCCCTTCTTTCCTAGCAGTGAAAGTGTACTGGTAGCTGGTGTTAACCTAGAAAAACGACAGCTGTGATAATGGCTGGCGGTGACTTGAGGTTTTGCTGCCTCTGGGCATCTGCCACCCTTGGTGGATGAGGTGGGGTCTTCTCTGGGCCACCTGCCAAACCGCTGTGTAGAGGGGATAAAAAGGGTGCTCGATTTCAGGGTCAGCAGCGGTTCTCTGCCCGGGTCTCACCTGGGACGTAGCATACGAGAGCTTGTCCTTTACTCAGATGCATCTGAGCGATGTGAGAGCTGCTGTACACCTGCACACCACAGAGCGGTCCTGGAGACCTCCCCTTCTAAGGTGAAGCACAGCAGGTGAATACAACGTGTACGTGAGGCAGATGGTGACAGCCAGGATGCGGCACAGTTGCACACCATCTCCGTTCCTCAGTCATTGTCTACCCCACGCGACTTAACAAAAAAAAAACCCAAAACCAAGAGTGGCTGAAGGTGCGGTCTCCTCCCCTCCCCCTGGGCTTTGCGTACTTCTTTTGACCCTGCGCTCATCTGAATATTCTCCTTTCTGCACTGCCTAGGCGGGCTGTTCGCCGCTGGCTGTGCGAAGGCATGCTTCCCCTGGAGGTACCTGTCTCACCAGCGAGCAGCCGGCGATGGTGCAGGGCAGGAAGGAAGTGGTAGAAGAGTTGTTCTGTAGACACATGGTTCCCAATGTTCCTTTCTCTTGCCTCCTTCCCTTCGCCTCCTCCCTTCCTGCTCCGCTCCAAGTCTCCTTCCCGTGCTTAGCACCCATGAGTGAGCCTCAGGAAGGAGATGCTTGTGACTTTTTAAGTTGCCTGCGTGGAGGATGCTTTTTTTCCTTGGCTTTTGGCATGTGGCCTAAGCCGCTGGGCTGAGGCTGAGCTGAAGAGACCTTCACCCTTAAATGACTGTCAGCTGCCAAGCACAAAGCCTCAACTGACAAAGTGCAGCCATAGGCGTGAATTTACACTTGTAGAGAAAAAGCATGTGCTGAACGCCTCTCCTGAAGGCCTGGCCTCTCAGCTCAAGAGCCTGGATCTTTCCCAGCAGTAATGATCTATGTCCCAGCCCCATATCAGGAAGAAGGAGAGGAGGGCATCCATTTGCTCCCCTCCCTCGCCTTCTCCTGACTCTTTGCCCCGACCAGGGAAGAGTCTTCTGGCCCTGGCCACTGCATCCAGCCCCAGTTCTGAGCTCCCCTTGTCTCTGCTCAGCTCCCCAGGCCTGCAGAGGGGTTCCCTCCTCAAACTGAGAATCAGAAAGCAGCACTCAGCAGACAATTTATGAAATTTCTCCCTCTGACATTGCCTCTCTGCAATTGAATGCACATTTTAATCTTCTTCTCAGGCCTTTAGAGTCTGCTGTTTTGATACTTGGCTCAGCCCAGAAGATTCCCAGTTCTGTCATCTTCTGTGGTGGCTGGGCTGTGATGGATGTATCCCCACACCTCTCGAATATGTCATTCATAACTCTACTGCTTTATCTAAAGAGGCAGCTGGCTACCTGTGAGCACTTTGTTGTTGTCCCACGCTGGTGCAGGGCTGGAGCAGGCTAACCTGCATCTCAGATATCCATTCAAATAAAAAATAATAACAACTGAAAAAAACATACACAATTTCAGGGTTCATTTTCTGCTAATATTTGCAATGAGCGATTTTAGTGATTGAAACATTGGTTGGAACAGCAGAACTTAAGAGATTTATCACATCCAGCAATTTTCAAGCATTTGTAAAGGGTCAAACATCGCTGTGATGCCAAAGATGAGCCATATCCAAGAACACATTTGTGAGAGACAAGCAGCTTCAATGCATTAGCTTTCTTAGCTGCCCTGTAGCTTTCAGTTGAGCAAAGCCTGTCCAAAGTAGCAGTTCTCACCTTTCTGTGATCTATCCTGTTCTGCTAGGGCTCACCAACTATTAGTAGGTGTTATATCAGGTCCCGGCTGTGTTTTTGTTCTGAGGCTTCTTGCTCCGTGAGACTCACTGCACATGACAAACCGCAGTCAGCAAGCGCATGTTTCTTACCTTCAAGATGAGCAAAACATCTCATCTTCCAGGACAGAGACCCCGCCACAAATGAGCGGAAAATGGGGTAATCCACTAAGGAAGATTTGCTGTGTGCCTGCTCTGTATTTAAACTCCTCCCTGGACAGCTGCTCTTG